TAGCAAGTTTATACGAAAGATTCACTTTACAGTTTTCAATTTCTGAATTTATTCTAATTAAGGCTTTTGATATCTCCTTTTCATTTTCTATCATTAAAATGCACACTTAATAAATTGGTAGAATTATTGATTTCAAACAAAAAGTAGATCGAATATATATGCTCAATGGTATATGTTAAATTTTGACTTTCAATTTGATTTCACACTGAGTCATTATTATTAATTTGGTAGATAAAAAGATAGACAAAATTATATAAGATAAATAATATAACTGGTTTATTGATGGATCTAGTTTTTTTTCTTTTTTTCATTCTTAATCATATCCTTTAGCTCACGGAGGTAGAGTTTGCGTAATTCAATCTCCCACATCAGCCTTCTCAGCATTCCAAATCCACCTCGAACAGGATCTTCTGTCCATGCGACCCCTTCCTTGAGAATGGAATTTGCCAAATCTTGTTTTTTCTCAATAGGAGCTTGTTTCATCATTTTCATAATTTTTGGCGTACCAAACAGTTGATTAGCACATTCGTACTCGCCTAGCCTACAAAAGAAATAAAATTTCAAATAAATCACTTATCAAGAACCTATTTTAATAATCATGCTTATAGTAAATAGATCAGCGAATGATAATAGTTTACAATAATATATAAGAAAATGCATACACTTGATTAGGGAAATATGCAGCAAATTCGCAATTTTGACCACAAATTTTGTTCCGTTCAATGCAAACTGCACAAGGACCACGTTCCACATTGACTGCTAGGGCTTCCATCACAAAAGTTTTATTGTTAAACTATAAAATCAGCAAATGATGAATTGAAATATTTAGAAAAAAAATATCAAATAAGTATTTATAGACATCATTATGGAAACTAAAGTGAAATAAATTTATTGTGTATCCATATATATGAATATGTGCTAGAAAGACTTTAAGAATGTAATTGATTTATTACAATTTTTGGTAGTAACTTTAAAATTCGTTTGACTTGAATATTTATAATTACTAGTGCAGTACCCGCACCCTGCGCGGAATAGTAAATTTTAAAACATTGATATAGTTAATTATTTAAAAATAAAAATTTGATTTATAATTTAATTTGTAACAAATTAATAGGCACTAAGCTCTAATACGTGAGTTTGAATCCTCACTAATACATGTAACTATTGAAAACCATTTATATTTTTAACAAATTAAAGAACAATAAATCCTAATATGTAATTCTAAACCATCACAAATGCATGTAAAGTATTCAAAACAATACATTTATTTTTTGTATTTATTTATTTGTTTTGAAGATAACTAATTCTATTATCTATGATATTTTTATTCGTTTTTCACTATTATTGTCATCTTCTTTTTTTGAGTTTCCTCATTTCTATTATCTTTAATTACTGCAAATATTTGTTTATCTAGTTATACTTTTCATTATTATTTTTTTGAAGAAACGCTTAAAATTATTCATTCATATTATATTATTTCATGGGACAACTTGATGGATGAATTTTCAGTTGATTTGTTTCTGTTTTTTTTTTCTGTACATAAAATATTTGAAAAACATGAGTTTATTGTTTGAGTATGAACAGTAAGATTTAAAAAAAAAACGAATATGTTTTGTCTTTCTTTCGGTAGAGCTTCTCATCTTTCTCTTCTTTAGCGCTAATTATTTGGATCAGATTTCATATCTTATGTATGGGGTCGTAGATGTCTTGCATAAAATTGGAATGTCGTATGGAAATAGTTGTAGAGCTCTGGTTGGAGTTTCATCCTTTTGGAGGATGAGGGACATGTCGACTCTAATGAGAAATCCATAATGATTCTCTCGATATGCATTGAACCTTGTATAAATAATATCACCAGGAAGTCTTAATAAGGATGATTATTAGCTTCAATTAGCAACACATACTCTAATTATCAAGGAAAATTTGCAAATTTGTAATTAATATCAACAATCCAAAAAAAAACATCATTGGTATAATAATTTTAGTTCTATACGGTTTTAAGTGGAATTTTTTGATTAATTTGTGTAGTTTGTTTAATTATGATTAGTCTGATTAATTTTAGTTAGTTCATATCGATTAAACAATGTAAATGGGACACATAATTAGATCTTAGGATTCTTTTCAAAAATCTTCCGATAACCGTTTAGTGAAAGGACTTTAATAAGATATGTTAAGAAATCGTGGACGTAGACTAAATTATTAACCGATGTTTCTTTTTGAAACCTCTTTACGGGGGAACATTTTATATCAATGTTTTTCATTTCAAAATGGTTGGACATTAAAATACAATCTTGTACATGTTGTCTTTCAATATACATGATCTAGCTCGTTATGGAACAAAGTTAACATAATTTAAACTAACTTAAAATTTTGAGGTTATGTAATTGCATTTAGGTTATATGAGATTCAAGAACTCGATGATTATAAGCTAACATGTTTTTTTAGAATCCAATATGTTTCAATCATGAAAAAAAAACGTATAAATACCCAAATGTATTAACCTAACGTAGAGTCACAGTGATTGTGTTTTTCTTTGAAAAATATCGAGAATGGTAAAATGCTACTAAACTTATTATTGAGTTAGCTTTTCTAATATTTAGAATCAACTAAAATTGATTTGAATTTATATATTCTAGCCAAATAAATTCATATTAAATCTATTTCCAAAATATAAAGATCATAAAATTAAATTATAAGTATAATAACTTTGATCATTTATTTTTTTGATGTAGTTATTGGTAAACATTTAATTATGTAAAAAAATTTCTATTTCTCTTAAAGTTATAAAAGCAAAGTAAAATTAATTAGTTTCTCAATTTAATTTAAGTACATGCGATTTTAAACAAATACAATAAGGCACAAGCAGCCATGACCGTTTTGAGAGAAATAACAAACATTATACTAAAATTTGTTTAGCGAGTGGTGGAGATAA